TCAAAAATATTTCTTTCAGTCTTACAGCATCACGTAGCAATTATATTATCAAATAGTTAACAGAAAAACATCAAAAAGGTTTTTTTTCTCAAAGTTTATTAAAATACAAAAGTCTCCATTTCCGCCCCTCCTCCCAACACCCTCCTACTCCCCCCTCTCCCTCCCCTCCTCCCTCTCCATCCCCAAGAGCAGTCAGGGTCTCCCACCCTGTGGGTAGTTCAAGCTCCTCCCCCCTCCCTCCAGGTCCAGGAAGGTGAGCATCCAAACAGACTGGAAAAAAATCCAGTATATGCAGAGGAAACACGTCCCAGTGTCATTGTCAATGGCTTTTCAGAAAGACTCCGGGCCAGCCACATTCAGAGAATCCGGCCTCATTCAGAGAATCTGGCTGGATCACGTGCTCGCTCAGTGCCAGACAAATGGCCTTGGTGAACTCTCATTAGATCAGTCCCCTTGTATCAGTGGGTGATCGCACCCCTCGCGGTCCTGATTTCCTTTTTCTCTTCCGAAGGTCCTGAGTTCAATTCCCAGCAACCACATGGTGGCTCACAACCATCAGAAATGAAGTCTGGTGCCCTCTTCAGGCATACATGCAGAAAGAATATTGTATACATAATAAATAAATATTTAAAAAAAATAAAAAAAAACCAAAAAGGTTTTAAATTAATATGCCCTGAGTCAACTAAAATCCAAGAACTTGTTTTCTAAGAATCGATTTCTTCAAACAAATATTTAGTGTAGAATGTGTTATAGTTATTTCATACACTAGAAACCAAACTAAAGGGGAAAATAAATTCACTCAAAAGATATTTGGGTGGGGCAGTGGTGGCACACACCTTTAATTACAGCACTCAGAAGGCACAGCCAGGTGGATCTCTGAGTTCAAGGCCAGCCTGGTTTACAAGAGTTAATTCGAGGATAGCCAGAACTATTACACAGAGAAACCCTGTCTTGAAAAAACTCCTGACTTCTCTTAGGACTGGAGAGGGAGGGGGAAAGGGAATGGGAGGAGTGGGAGAGAAATGAGAGGAAGGGAGGAGGTGAAATTTTTTAATAAATAAATATTTTAAAAGTCACATAAAAGAAAACAAAAAAACAAAAACAGAAAAACAAAAACAAAAAATATTTGGAAGTAGGTCCTGTGGACACAGTCTTACAATCCCAGCACTTAGGAACAAGTCATTTGGAGACAGGTTTTGCAGTGTATACCTGAAATCTCAGCGCTCAGGAGGTTAAGACACGGAGGTATCAAGTTTGAGATCAAACTGATCTAGTTAGCAAGTTTCATACAAGCTTGGAGCACCTTGTGAGACCCTGTGTCCAACATCTTCAAAAAACCATCAACAGCTTAATCAGTAAAACATTAAAGAAAGTGCAGAGCAAGTCTTACTTAAAGTTCAGTAATTTTTAATGTTTGTTTTTTCTCTCAGTTTAAGAATTCTGAATTCCTCAGGGCTAGAGAGATGGCTCTGTAGTTAAGATCCCAAGTTCAGCTCCTCACATCCTTGTCAGATGACTTATAACCTCCTGGCACTTCTGTTCCAGGAAATCCTATGCTCTAGACAACTGGGGCACCCACCACCTACCCACACATATACACATGATTAAAAATAAAGAGTAATTCTTGTGAAAACAATTCTGAATCCTCATATTTCATATTTATATCTATAGAGTATACTGTGCATTGGGTACTATGGCTCTGTTCAGAAGAAAAACAGTATCCAGGGATGGAATCTGGTATAGACCCTAGAAATTGCTTAGGTGAATAACTGTAGCTGTGCCTCAGTTAACCCAGGCTGGGACGGACGAGTTTGCTCAGCAGCAAAAGGCCATGCAAGCCTGGTGACTTGAGTATGATCCTAGGGACACACATAAAGGGGAAAAATGAGAACTGACTTCACAAAGTTGCTCTGTCACACACACACACACACACACACAGAGAGAGAGAGAGAGAGAGAGAGAGAGATAATATAACAATAACACAAAAATAACATATATAGATTACAATATAAAGTAAGCTACACAATTGACATAGTTTCTGATTTAAAGTGTTAGAGCATATTCATTAAAAACCAGGTAAACTCCTGGAAGCATGTAGTTCACAACGCGTCCTGACATTTCGTTAGGAACAAGGCTGAAGTGTGATTTTTTTTTCACAGCCTTCATCCGAGATAGCAGCAGGTACTAGATTTCTTGACATGGTTCAGTAAATTTGGCACTTCAGTCCTTTCCGATTGAGTTAAACGTGCTTTTAACTAGATGGCTGTGGCCCTATGGATAGACCTCATTTCCGTCCTAAGAACTTCAAATGAAATTACACACTTGCTCGCTAACGTTAGAAAGGTCTCAAAAAGATTCTGTCAAGTTCACGTGTTTTAAAGGGACTTGTGTCTGGTTGTACACCACCCCACCCCCAGACAGGTCCCCCGAGAGGGTTACCGAGTGACATTTTGTATTCTTTGACCTCTTAGCTGCTAACACATGTTCAAGAGGAAATGAG